ATTCGAGATGGTCGTTCCATTCTGATGCTTGGTGCTTTCACTCACAGGTGGTTTCCGGGGACCGGTCGCACGGATCAACTGAAATAATCTCCGGGCATTTCCGGCTTTCTGGCCCTCTTCCATTTCTTTGGAAGAGGTCGGAACGCAAGCTCACTTTCACTTGCCGTCTGACTGCTCTTCACACCGGGTTATGTTCGGGACCGACTGGGATATTTCTTCGAGATTTAAGTAGTGTCACCGTTCGGTCTGATATCCAGTGCTTGAGTGCGCCTGGTTGGGTCGTGCCACAGGCAAAATTCCCAGCACTATGCAAAGAGGTGGCAATCTCGTCCCAGTATGAGTTCAAATCTGATGGTGGAGCACCTGGAGGAGATTCTAAAGGACGATTCTTGTAAGTTCGTCTGACACCTGGGTCTGCCAGTCTTTCAGTTGCCATGCGATTTGTCCGCACCTTACGCGGCCCCGGGAAACGTAGGGCGAAGCGACTCCGGACGAGCGCGTGGTCAGAGTCCACAAATGTGTTCCAAAACGACTGTGCAAATTTTAGATCCTTTGTATGTTTGGGAAGACTGGATTTCGTGAAATGACCGTACTCGTCGGTTCCAAGTTACCGTATCACGCATCATCTTTGCCGGTAAACTCGCTCTGAAAAGGATCTTCTCAGCGACTACCATGAATCGAATGTGAGACCAGATGCCGGTTCGCAGAGAAATTCGGTAACAGTTGCTGCGATAGAATTGTCAAAGGATAATGAAGTGCCACTTTGAGATGGAACTCGAGTACGAGACCGAATAAGTCTCAATTGCGATTGTTCGAACTGCGCTTGAAGGATTGCTTTCAAACCTTCAGCTGAAATTAACCTGTTTGTGTTCACGTTGGGTTTCCGTCACCAGTGTTGTATCCTCTTTGATAATGCATCAGTCAGACTCGTCAGTTCATCGCAATGGAGAAGACAAACAACTTCGAGGAATTTATACCGCAAACAAGTGGATCGTTCCGCGATATGAAATTCAACTGAACTAGAATATAAAAAAGAAAACAGTCCAACAGGATGTCAGTGAGGGGCTGAAATGCAGAAACAAGGTTTCAGTAAACAAGACAAATTGTTAGAAAAGTGGATTTGTTCGTTTTAAGGTAGTCCTAAAACTATACTGGCTGGAACTCAGTTCCTACAGGTTCAACCTATGTTTAGAAATGGTTGTCCAGCTCATATGACCCGAATCAATGAACACTGGATATCTTCGAGATCAGCAGATCTGGTTGCTGTCAGAAAGCCATACCGGTAACTAGCGACTATGATGGCGCACGCGGATGTCTAAAAACCGGATAATCAGGAGCTAGAAGAATGACAGAGAACGTCCGTGGATTTCAAAGGCCCAGAAAGTTGAGAGGGCGTTCGCTGGTATCAGTCTAGTATCCGTCGCATCTAAGGTGTTCTCTGGCATTTTGCGCAGGTTGATGGTTTATCGGGAGAGATAAATTCGTGAGAACCAAGCTGGGTTCTGCCCTGGTCGAGGATGCATCACCCATAGCTTTACCTTGATACAAATTCTTGAACAGCGTCACTCCTTCAGACGTCCCACGTTGGTCGTTCTTTGGATTTGGAAGCTTCCTTTGATTCCGTCGATCATCAGGATCTTTGGCAGTGTCTAGTGGTGAAAGCCATCCCTTCCAAATTTCTCTCCCTTATGAGGGCATTGTATACGAACTCCTGTGGGCACGTACGAGTATACGGGAAGCTCTAACCTGAGTTCCCCACGTCCAGTGGTGTAAAACAAGGCTATCCTCTCGCCCTTCCTCTTCAACTTTGTTATTGATATGCTGCTTGAAATTTCTCTACCTGCCTCTGAAACCTTGTGAGTCGAAATGCTCGCGGGACGTTCCCTCATAGACATTGAGTATGCAGACCGTATTGTTCTCCTTGGTTCAGATCCTTCCCAAATGCAAACGATGTTAAATAACCTAACTAATTCTCCCCCATGGGTTGGCTTGTGCTTCACACCTACAAAGTGCTACGACGAGACTGGGTGAGATCAAACCCACACCTCATGCTTGTAGGTGAGCCAATCGATGTGGTGGCTTAATTTGTTTACCTAGACAGCTGTTTAATTTCCGGTGGACTGACTGGAGATGAGATTATTTGTCGAATCGGAAAGGCCAGGGAGCTTTTGCCAACCTCCGATACCAATGGGGCCGACGTGACGTGAGCTTGTCCGTCAAGGCAGAGTTTACACTGCGGTAGTGCGATCCATACTGCTTTATGGATTAGAGGTGTGGCCCCTATGTGCAGAGAACATACGAAAGATGTCAGTGTTTGGCCATCGGTGTCTCCGCAGCGTTGGTCAGGTCTGGTGGGAACATCGGATTAGTAATTCTGAGGTATGCCAGATGGTCTTAGGAAGAAGGAATTCTCAAGTGATAGATGAATTACTCACGCTTCACAGGTTGCGTTGGTTGGGACGTGTACTCCACATATCAGAAGACCGTCTGCCTCGCAGCATGACCGGGAGGTGGACAGTGTATGACCTAGCAATGAAGTACGAAAACACTGACCGGTAAACTTAGTCGGGTGGGCAACTGCCGCCTCCGTGAATGGGGTCCCCGGGACTCAAATCACCAGTGGTCAATGACATAGGTATCAAAACTATCGCATCAGAGCTATCGCCTTCAATGCGTAGCTACCCGACTTCCGAACAAACTGAACATGCCTTTGCCTCCAATGCTTGGTTGTATGTTGAACTCGGCCAGATAGATTGAGGAGGATTGAGTTGGAGATTCCTGAAGATGTCGGCACCATGTGACGAGCAGATGCTGCACGCAAAACCGATGCATGACGAACGGAGACGAACGGAACTGACTCTTGAACAGGACTATATATTCAACATCATTCCCTGTTAGAGAAAGGAGTGCCTAGACTAGCCAGGACTGAATTTCCCACAGCGGAGAAATACCTTATAAGGGTGTTAACTACAAGGCCGTCATAATATGGTGCTTTTTGACTCCTTCAGACGCGTACTTCATCGGCCGATGAAAAACACAAGCATGAAAAATTTCGCACAAATTTGGCTGTGGCGTGGTGACAGCTAAGGAGGTCTGTTGTTCACAACCCACGAAGGGAGATAAGCAATGTGGACAAAGCTACTGTAAGGCCGATTGGGAATAATAACCTCACGGAAAAACATTAGTATCATACATCCACTGTAAAGCAGCACAAAATATGGGTTAAATCGAGCAAACTTACGCAAGTGTCACATCCCTCTCTGGGTGTTCCGCGATGATTTTGGCAAGACCGTCGTACTCTGTAAAGAAAAACCATATCACTTGATGAACAAAACTAACCGCGTCGATTTTTCCGAATGATTTTCGCAAGACGCAGTTCCTCTCGACATTCTTCAATACGAAGTTTTGCTTTTTCAATCTCATATTCTGGGAACATCATCAAAATACTGTTACACACATACCGATTTCCTTGTACAACTCGGAATAATGCTCTTGTTGTTTCTTGTTCATCGAAAGGACTAATGTCGCTTGTTCCATCGCATTCTCACACTGGTTTATGCTACCCAATAGAGCCTGAAATGTTTCAAAACTTCGTGGGACAAAATACAACACATCTCTCAAATTCTGTGTACCCATTATCACTGGTATCACCCGAGGCCACCCAACGTAGGTAATTTTTAAGCAAAAGTGTTAAACGTCTGTCATCATTTCCACTTTCACCTTCAATGAGGAGTTTTCGTTTAATTATTTCGTCTAAAATGATAGGCGTATGTATGTGGAAAACAGTTACCATCCGAAACCTGTCCCATTGGGCGTGGCAAAGCGAAGAACGCGTGACGTTCCTCTTGTCCTGCAGGAACTGTGTGGAGGCCGAAGAAATTCCAATCACGCGAGAGTCGCCTGAATCCCTAGAGAATGATGAATAAGAAGGAAAAATGCAGGTATTGGTCGACGGAAAACAAAACATTTTGGCCGTCTAATTGGCAGGCCTAACACCACGAGGACTATTTATCTTCTGGACACAACAACAATTAATGAATGGTGAATGTATGGATATGGTAAATGATTATTTAACAGGCCGCCTGCTCGGGTTTTACGAAGACTCCTAGACCGAGGAACATGAGATTATCTTGTGCGAAAAGAAACAATCAAAACATACTTTAAATCTATTCATTTTATTTACAACCCCACAATCTCGTACACTTCTGTTATTCACGACCTGTTCAAAACGCCAAAGGCTATAAATGATCAACAAGCTTTTGTGGTGGCCCGACAGATAGCTGTCGGCGGAGTGCGAGAGATGGCTCAGTGGTCAGTGTAAATTTACGAACCGGAAGGTCCGTGGTTCGAACCGACTTTAGCATCACTTCTTCTGTCTAAGCTTGGGAAACCTTGCTTGAGGCGTCTTGGAGACTACAAGACAGTTATCGATCATCAGCTAGGCACCGAAGGGTGTTACAGCTGAACGGACGATGCATAAAATGGGTACTGTTTATGTACTTGTTTATGTACTGTTTATGTACTTTGGTTGATCCTGGTGAGACATGAGCAACCTTGCTTGAGGCGTCTTGGAGACTACATAGCATCACTTCTTCTGTCTAAGCTTGGGAAACCTTGCTTGAGGCGTCTTGGAGACTACAAGACAGTTATCGATCATCCTCTTCATCAAGTGGTGCAACAGAAACGATCTAATAGACCTGGCGTCAATTCTAATCAGGGGTCACGGTAACTTACCGTTAATTGTGGCAGAGATGCTTATCGTACTGAAGGACGGGACAGATTGTCACTCATAAGTGGTCGTCAACAGCGTCGGGTCAGACAGCAGCAGTTTCTGGTCCTATAAACAACATTACAAAGCTTGGTTAACTGTTCTGTTGAGTTGAGCATTAGGCACTGAGTGACCGACGTAAATAAGTGATCTTGAATGTTGTATACTCTGTATCAGGTAGTCTAGCATAATTACTGCTATGACTGTGATTCGCAAAAAGAGGCGCACGAACATCGTGCGAAAACCTTCGTGATATCATCCTCGCAACCAATACATCTTATATGCTCTGGCACTGCCTTGATTGAGTTTATCGACTATCGAGAGACAGGATAATCAAGCTGGGTTCCGCTCTGGATGAGGAGGTATTAATTGAGGCAGACTCTTAAAAGACACTTCTCTCAGACATTCATAGATACCTGTTTTTCTCCACCTGAAGGTTAATTTTCACCCCGTCGACCGTCAAAAACTACGGCGGTGTCTGGCAATCAAATTTGTTTCCATGATCTTTTAATTCGTTGTAAAAGTACTGTACACCAGATACTATGGGTACATACAGATGTTCAGTAAGCCTCCACCTGGGTTGGCCAGGTCGTGGCCTAAGGCAAGGCTGTTTAACCTAACTACTATTCACTTTTGATACTGAAGTGTAGCTTTTGTCTTTGGAACCCTGTAGATCGAAATTCCCCCACAGCGTCCGCTAACAGTTACTGACTACGCCGACGACTTTGTTCTCTTTGATTCATGTTTTTTCTAAAGATGCAGTTCGTTCTAAATAGCATAAACGATTCTGCCACACGGTTTAGTACGTGTCACATCTATAAAATGCCGCAAGGCCAATCGATTGGTTAGGTAAGCTTACTCAATTGGATAGTTGTATGAACACCGGCGGAATGGCTTGGGACGAAATCAGTTCTCAAACCGTGGAGGTCAGACAGCTCCTGTCAACTTTAACACTAAAGGCTGAAGTACTGTTGTTGATTAATGAATCAGAAACATGGCTGCCGTGCGCAGAGTATGCGCGAAATCCCTCGGGTTTTCCATCGGCGTCTCCAAAGCACTGATTGTAAAATCCGATAAACAACGCCGAGGTATGTCGGATGGACGTTGGAATAAACCCTCCAGAGATGAATGAGATAATCACGCCTTGCAGGTTACACTAATTAATTCGCACAGCCGACGACTATCTACCTTGCAGGGCTATGATATACGTGCGTAGCTGGTAACGAATACGAACGGTTGAAACAACAAGTTAGACTTACCTGAGTGAGTTGGATGGAGGATGTATTCTGAGACAGAACACCGTATACAGAAGAAATCGGTGTTCAAACCACTTGTTGATGCAAGGTCTGCCGGGACAAGCTATAACATGACAATGTGAAATAAACATGGTTACAGTTAACTGAGTTTTGTGGGATGCTCGTCTATTTCTGTATGGGGCCCACGTTGGCCCGCTCGCACGTATGGTCGAAAACCCTGCAGGAAATTGTACATAACTGATTCCAGTCGCGTGTATGTTGTCGTTTCCAAGCCAGACTGCCTAAGAAAAGTTCGCTTGTTCTTGTGCCCTGGGTTTGTGTCAGGTGAGGTTCGCAAAACCGCTGGACCAGTACCGTTAACAGCGCCTTGCTTCATGATACTCAGGAGTGTCTAGTTCCGTGTTGTAAAAGGGTGCACACACAGTTTTCTTCATCGTATTTCTTATGTACATGGGTTTTCCTCACTGTAGACCCCTTACCTCTTTTTCTTTTCAATCTAAACTAAGGCTTTCTTCCTTTATTGTTCCAAGACATTAAGTACCAGTATGCATTACTGATGTACTAGTCTGCCACTCTAGCGATTCTTATTAGTTACCGAGCACCCATTTACACACAATCTCGTTACGTACTCGCTGGAGACGCCATAGGTAACGCAAAGTGGCGAATGCTGCTTCCACCTTCATTACAGTTGACTAACAAACAAAACCTCGTTATTTTGAGGTCTGACAGAATCATAAGGTAATGGAGAATCTAAAAGTAAATTTTTGCAACGTACAAAACGCATGCTGAAAAATCGGATATTGCGTTCAAAGTGCTTAGTACGGAAAATAGTCGCCAAGCAACAAGATGTACTCTGCATAAGCCGAGTCTATTAGTCTCTAAGTGTGATTCTGGTAGCTGGATTCATGGTCATCACATCATCATCATCATCATAACGGACAGCTAGACATCAGTGTTCAAAACTGATGCTTTGCTGCCATACAACAATGATTTATTTGAAGGTTTATTATGAAGAAAAGAATAAAGGTGGATGGGGAAGGGACTTACTGCTTCCTTAGTACAACCATTCCGAGGTGCCTACATCTTCAGACACTCACTCAGGCAATCTGGATAGAAACTGACACTGATATCGTTTAGCAGTCATATCTTGCGGTGTCCCCAACCAAGTGCAGTGGGGTTCTCGTGGTCCCCATCCTGGAGGACAAGTAGCAACGACGGCACTCAAACTCTTCGTAACCTGTTTCACATGAGACACACCCCAAACCGACTGGAGATAGGGGAATAATTGAGAAAGTGTTCAGAAACTTCAAAGGCATAACTGACGACTAAGTACATTTGGGAAAGCCAATCTATCCACAGGGTAGAAGGCTCGCTCAAGTCTAGAACGAGTGCGATTGGTCGACTATATGTGGCACCGCTCAGGCGATTGAGACAGTGTAAAGATAGGGCCACTGTATTCTGTGCCAGGTGAAAATCTTGTTGATGCTCTCAAACTTGTGTCTCACGTGCCGAAGCTGGAACCACCGCATTTTGATGCACGGTTAGTGAGCTGAAAAACTCACTGACTGACAAAGGGCCAACCAATTTGGTTGTTGATGAAAATATTCCGTCCGGCGATCTGGACGCTGTATAAGGTTTCCGATATAATCATCTCTTAATTCAAAGAAAGCTTCGCAGCATTTCCAGCAGTACTTGACTCCTCGAGTCCTTGAACTTTCCGGTTTCACCACATCTGTCTTTACAAGCTGCGTTAGAACTATCATCCAATTGATTGTCTAAACTGCGCAACGAAACCGAAGGGATGAATCGCCTTGCATCGATGAGTGGTGGCTACCGCTCTTGGATACAGAGGCTTTCATATTCGTGATAAGAATAACAGGCAAAGTTACTGGTGCCAGATACAGCCGTGGTTATCTCATCCCAGTTATGGTGAATGCCATTCGAGGAGGCCGCCCGTAATGTGCCGAATAGTAAGCCTTGGTATTTTTCTGTAACTTGTGGCCAACAAACCTTTCCTGCTAATACCTGAAGAGATCATTTCTGGGGTTTACCGGAAATGCTTGGTGAAAATCTGCACCGGACGAGGGCGTGTTCTGAATAAAAGCGATCGGCAGTCAAGGACTGAATCATGCTTTTGGTAGCTGGTGGCAAAGCTTTCATTTGGCTCCTAGGATACTCGGCGGTACGGGAAGGAGGAACAACGGTGCCCGTTGCTTCTAAATCCAGCAATAATGACAAACTGGTGTTCGAATTTAGAGAGACGCTAGCATTTATCAGTGCGTCTTGTGTAAGGCTAAGCAAACCAACAAGGCCTGAGCTGAGTCGTCCTATCTGTGCACGGAAATCTCCCGCTATTATAACAACATCCAACGTCCCATACAAATTGAACCTGCACGATAAATACCTCGTTTTCGACTGCATAGTTATACTGAGTCGCTGAATGGCGCTCATCACATGCTTGTAGAAACCGTGTAAGTCGCCGGGGAACTGTACTTAAAAATCGTTACACCTTA